GGGGTTCTCCTTGACGCTCCGAGCCCGGGCCCTGGAGCTGTTCCTGGAGTCGCTGTTGAAGAAGGCCTGCCAGGTGACCCAGTCCCGGAACGCCAAGACCATGACCACGTCCCACCTGTGAGTGGCCGCGCAGACAGGGGCCCTGTGGGCTTCGGTCCCCGGAGCTCACACGCTTAAGAGAGGCTGGGTCCTCGGAGGGCCCAGCCCGCAGGCCCCAGCCCCGGAGGCTGCAGGCCGGAGGCTCCTGGGAGACCAGCGAGGCCGTAGAGGCCGGTGGGTTCGAACTTGGGAAAGGTGGGGTGTTACCGCGAAGGGGCGAGGTCGGCCGGTGGAGATGAAGGTGGAGGCAGCCGGGCCCTGCCAGACGCCATCCCCTCCCGCCTCTTCCAGGAAGCAGTGCATTGAGCTGGAGCAGCAGTTTGACTTCTTGAAGGACCTGGTGGCATCCGTGCCTGACATGCAGGGGGATGGGGAAGACAACCACATGGACGGGGACAAGGGTGCCCGCAGGTGGGGACCAGGGCCAAGGTCCGGGTGTAGAAGGCCAAGGCCACGGGGGTTGGAGGTGGGTGGGGTCTGGTGAAGGAACGGGGAGATGGACTGTCCCTTCCCACAGGGGCCGGAAGCCAGGCAACAGCAGCCGGAAGAATGGTGGGATGGGAAGCAAAGGCAAGGACAAGAAGCTATCAGGGACAGACTCGGAGCAGGAGGTAAGGGAGGCCCCCAGCCCTCTGCCCTGCCCCTCCACGCTGGCCCAAGGCCGGGCCCCATCCTCACCTGTGGCCGTTTTGTCCATGGGGGCTGTGAGGTCAGCCTCCCGTCCCTGCCATTTCCCGGGGTCTGGGCTCTCCAGTGACGGGCCCATGCCGTTCTCGTCATTTCTGACCCCTGTCTTGCTCCCAGGACGAGTCCGAGGACACTGACACTGATGGGGAAGAGGAGACACCGCAGGCCCCACCCCAGGCCAGCCGCCCCCCTGCCCACTTTCAGAGGTAAGCAGTGGCCCCAGGAAGACACCAGCAGACTTGTTCCTCCAGGCCTCTGGCCACTTGCTTGTGTTCATGGTGGCAGAGTTGGGGAACGGGAAGGGCGGCACTGAGGAGGGCTTAACGACAGAGACGGTGTCTCAGAACCCCCTTACCCTGGGCAGGGCAGTGAGTGGGGCCTGGGTCGGGGCTGAGGGACCTGTTCTGGGCCCTTCCATTTTCTGGGCTTGGCCCCCCCTTTGGTACAGAGGGTGGTGGGCTCCATGCTTCCTGTGTGGGGCTCAGTGGGCACCGGAGAGTAACCTGACCTTCCTCTCCTGCTTTCTGCCCTGCAGCCCCCCAACACCTTTCATGCCCTTCACCTCGACTCTGCCTCTGCCCCCGCCCCCAGCGCCCCCGGGCCCCTCAGGACCTGATGCAGAGGACGAAGAGGATTATGACTCCTAGCACCCTCTGCCCCCCAGGCCACACCCCCTTTTAGTTGGTTTTAGTTGTTCTGGGCGGAGGAGAGAAGATAGAGCTGTTCTTAAATTTATTAATAAAAATAAAAGGGAACATCGGTGTTTATCCTAGCTTCTGTGCAGGGCTTTGTGGCCACCTTCCTATCCATCCACCTGACTTCCCCACACTGAGCCGTGGTGGGCTGGGCAGCGGCTGAGTGAAGGGAGGGGCGGGGGCATGCATCTGCTGGGTGCGGATAGAAGGAAGGTGGGGGGAGTGTGCTGGTCATGCCGAGGGACAACCTGTCTTACACGGTATGACCCTGGGCAGGTTCCTACCTTTCTCTGAGCAGCCTTTTCTTATCTCTCTGATGGAGACCATTCTGCCCATTCTGGGCTACTGCAAAGGGATAGACGGGCTGAGTAATAGGAGCTGTAGAGCTAGGCCTGGTGCCATGAAGGGTGGGGGGAGGGGCGGTGGGAGTAGAGGTAGGTAGGTAGATTGGGGAGGGCCTTGAGGGCCTGTGAGCAGGACAGTGACACAGTCGCTCGGTCTACAGTCAGTTCTACACCCGGAGCTGCAGTGTCCGTGGGCAGATGTGCTTTGAGGGAGCCATGGCTCGGTGAGGAGGGCAGGAGGCCTGGGAGCAGTGGGCAGACTTGACGTCTCTGTCAGCAGTGACTTGAGCACCGATGGTCGCCTGGATTGTGCTGAGAGGGAGGGGACCCTAAGGACTCTCCTGTTTCTTTCTGCAGCCACTCGGGCAGGGGCCTTTTCTAGCTGGGGACACAGGAGGAAGAGCAGGGTTCGACCTGAAGGTCACCATTTCTGCTCTGATGAGCTGCTGAGAGGTGTGGAGTGGTACTGGGTGTAGCCCTAGAGAGTAGGTGACCTCGCTCGATCAGAGGAGACAGGATCCGTTGGTAGTGCCCACCCCTGGGTCTGGGAGGAAGGAGAGGCCAGCTGTGATTGCAGGACACCTGCAGGCTGCAGGCCAGCCTCTGCCAGAGCTGCCTCGGTGGCTCGTGTGGTGAGGCAGGGAAGCGGGAGGTGAGAAACAGGTGAGCTGAAGCAACTGCTCAGGGCTATGAAATAGAGATGAGAGAGCAGTGGCTCAGAGGGAGGAGGAGGGAAGTTTTTGATTCTGTTTTTAAGATGGTGGAAATGCAGGCTTGTAGTGAGGGAGGGGTGAAGGGACAGGATGGGGGAGAATTAATGGAGTGAGGTGGGGAGTGTCCGAGGGGACCGCGGCCTGACAGGGAGAGTGCGGTTTAGGTAGGAGGATGGCGGGATTGAGTTTTTCCCAGAAGTGTCTGACTTGTGTGAAATGGGAGGCTGCTGGTTGGCATGGATAGGCCCAGGCCGCCGGAGTATGGGGGCGTGTGGCTTCTGTCTGCCTCTCATCTGCTCGCCCTCTGGGCACAGTGCCCCTGCTTTCTTTTGGGAAACCATTTCTCCTCTATTCAACCTGCGGTGTGTGTAGCATCTTCATGGGCAAAAGTGTCGAGGAGGCGCGGGTGGGGGTGAGATGGCCAGGGGCTCATGGGTTCCGCCTTAGCAGAGTGCTTAGGAGTGGAACCTCTAGAACCAGGCCCCAGGTTCAAATCCTGGCCTCTTCACTTACTAACCTCAAACAAGTTCTGTAGCTTCTCTGTCTTCAGTTTCTTCATCTGTAAAATGGGGCTAGTTGTTACCTTTGTTAGTTACATATACTGTACTATTTATGCTGGTAGTACCTGTTAGTTAGGGACAAGGGCTGATGTAACAGACTCAAAATACAGGCTCAAATGCAGTGGAACTTATTTCGTGTTCATGTAAGGTTCATAGTGGGATTTATCTGATCAGTGGGCGGTACTTCTCCAAGAGGGACTTGAGGGCCCAGGCTCGCTCTGTCTTGTGGCCTCATCATCCTCCACCCATGACGTCCAAGGTCACTGCGGAAGCGGAAAGCTCAGACCCACGGCGGTTTTTCTAGTCCAGGACTGGGAGTGACCCTGTCACCTCTTTCACCTCCCATTGGAACGGTCACACGGTTCTCTCTGGCGGAGGCTAGGAAAGGTGGTCTAGCCAACCTGGGTGACTGACCAGCCAGGTTCTGGTGCAGGACCTCACGGGCAGCCGGGAAGGGCTTGACTCGTCCTCGGCCAAGTGTTAGGAGTGCAGCCTCTGCAGTCAGAGGACAGGGGCCGGGCAGACAGTGCTCCAGGCTGGGTCTGGCCTCTCAGTGCCTCCTGGAAGTGGGGAAAGGTGGCTCTGCCCTGTGGGCACCACTGGGCACTGATGGGGCAGCCTGTGACTACCCCATCTGCAGAGCTCCACCTGGAACCGGATGAATGTGTTTCTTTATTCTCTATCATCAAAGAGCCAAGTCCTGTCTGAATGTCTCAGCCTGCCTCGGCTGCACGCCAGAGTGTAAGTGTGACTAGTGTGTGAAATGGGGCAGCTTCTGAGGCCAGCGTGGGAATCAGGGGCCTTGGCCGTCATGTGAAGGGTATCATCCCACCGTCCCTGCCGAGTGGAGAGCCTCCCTCCACAGCCCATCTAAGGATTCATCCAGCAAACGTTTACTGAGCATCAATGCCATCACTCTGCAGGGAAATGAGATGCGGTCTCCCACCCAACACTATGAGGTCTGACGCTACCAAGTGCTGCAGAGGAGGTGGCGACTCCCAAACTCAAGCTGTTGGTGGGAATATCAGTTGGTGCGACCACCTTAGAAAACGGTTTCTCATTGAGTCTTAATATACGCTGTCCTGCCACGCAGCAGTCCCCCCGAGGCACACGTCCACCGCAAGACACACCAGAATGCTCATAGTCCCCAGTGGAAACCAGCCCGAATGCCCATCAGCAAGAGCACGGGTAAATCAGTGGTAGGATGTTGCTTCACAGACAGCAATAAAGAAGGAGCCAGGCCCTAGCCAGTTTGGCTCCGTGGATAGAGCATCGGCCCTTGGACTGAAGGATCCTGAGTTGGATTCCAGTCAAGGGCACGTACCTGGGTTGCAGGCTCAATCCCCAGCCCTGGTCAGGGTGCCTGTGGGAGGCAACCAATCGGTCTCTCTCTCTCACATTAATGTTTCTGTCTCCCCCTTCCTTCCACTCTCTCTAAAGAAATCAATGGGGGTGGGGTGTTAAGGAGGGGGAGTCCTAGCTGGTTTGGCTCAATGGATAAAGTCAGCCTGCGAACGGGTTCAATTCCAGTCAAGGGCACATGTCCTGGTTGCGAGCTCAATCCCCAGTAGGGGGCATGCAGGAGGCAGCAGATCATTGTTTCTCATCATTGATGTTTCTATCTCTCCTCCTCTCTGAAATCAGTAAAAACATATTTTAAAAAATCAATGGAAAAATATCCTTGGGTGAGGATTAACAACAACAACAACAACAAAAAAGAACAAACCAGTCTTACAACATCCTGGGTGAATCCTGCAGATGTTCTGTTGAGCAAAAGAAGCCAAACACAAGAGTACACACCGTGGAGACCTTGGATGGTCTCTGTTTCCAGGGTGCCACCTCCCTGGCTGGCTGGCTGCCCTTGCTATTACATCTGTCAACAATCCCTTTGCCAAAGTCCTGCCAGAAAAAAAAAAAGTACACACTGAGACATTGTTCATTTACATGAAATTCAGGGACAGGTGAAACTAATTCATGGGTATAGAAGTCAGTATAATAGTTACTTCAGGCTCTGACAACCAATTGATGTGTTTCACATCAAAATTTCTGTCTTTCCCTCTCTCTTCCATGCTCTCTAAAAATCAATGGAAATATATCCTCTGGTGAGGACTAAAATAATCTATACTAATAAAAGGGTAATATGCTAATTAGAACAGACATCTTCCGGATGTCCATCCAGACAAAGCCACAGCGGCTGCAAGGGCCTAGGGCCTAAGCCGTCAGTAGGACATCCCCTGATGGCTCCCAGACTGTGAGAGGAGGCAGGCTGGGTTGAGGGACCACTCCCCCCCACCCTCAGTGCATGAATTTTCTTGCACCGGGCCTCTAGTAATAATAAATGGTTACTTCCGGATGGGGATTGACTAGGAGGGGGCACGAGGAGCCTTCTGGAAATGTTCTATACCTTGAACTGAGTGGTGGTTTGATAGAAAAATATATTAAGCTACACACTTTGCATACATGTTTATGATACTCTCATAACATTTTTATCTATAGGGACACTTCTAGGTAGTGATGTTCTCAGGGTTTATCTCTGATGGGGGAGAGACACAATAAGGAAGTTAAATAGTGTGTCGGAGGTGATATGTGTCCTGGGGAAAATAAAGCATCATAAGGGAGGAGTGGGGGGCCCCGGGCAGGACAAGTGGCCCCAGCCACTCTATACAGGGTTTTGGGGAGACTGATAAGGTGAGGTTTAAGGAGAAAACCCCATTAAGAGAGGATTGGGGGGGCCAGAAAACTGTCTGTGGGGAGAAGGCTCCAGGGAGGGGCATTGAGGGCAAAGGCCTGGAGGGTTTGATGTGATTCTATCCGGGTTTCCCTCTGGGCTCCCCTGATTCCCACTTCCTCAGGCACCACACAGGGGCCCAACTCCAGCCCTCTTTTGGGCCTGCCTTGGCTGAGGGGTGTCCTGTGGCACTGGCAGCCCCTCAGGGCCCCAGAAGCCACAAGGAAAAAAGAGTGGAGGGGAAGAAAGAAGTAAGGTCCGAGTAGGAGGTACTCCTCCCCCACACCTGCCCCAGGGGCTGGGGGAGGAGGGGAAGGAGAGTTGAGGGATGGAGTGACCTGGCCTGCCATCCACTGGCCTGGAGGTGTGAGATGGCCTGCTTCAGCACCAGTGTGACCGTGTGGCTTCACCACATCAGACGGGGGGCGCTATTGGTACCCCCTCCCACGGGGTTTCTGGGTAGGGTGAGTGCATTGCCCTCTTCTAGGAGAGCTGTCATCACTCCCATTTTACTGTGGCTCTGAAAGTGAGATGAGTGGCCTGAGTTTGCTCTTTGGCCCAGAGATGGGCAGGGGCTGTACACAGGTCTGGGGGCGGAGGGGGGTGTCCAGTGTGAGTGTGAGGGGTGGAGCTAACAGACTCCCCTACCTGAGGCACCCCCTCCCATCTGTTCTCAGGTATGTAGGCTTGACCCAGGACATGGATGGGACCAAGGTCCCACTCTTCTAGGCTGTGAGCTCTGTGGCAGAGGAGTGGCACCTGGGTCATAGGGGCCTGGTCCCTCCTCCTGGGGCACAGCTTCTGGTGGGCGTGTCATGTGGCTCTGGACTCTCTCAGGGGACTCCTTGTAGCTGGGGAGTGGGGCAGGGCTGTGTGACGCTGACCTTCCATCATCGGAGTGAATTATCTTCATTGTGAAATCACATCCTTCCTATTTTGTGTGCGTGCACATGTTCAAATAAGATTTCTGCACCCACCCCAGTAATCAGAGAGCTGCAAAGGAAAATCCAAGGTCCGCCTAGCCCAGTGGTTCTCAACCTTCCCAATGCCACGACCCTTTAATACAGTTCCTCATGAACCAAGATGGTGGCGTAAGGTACAGACCTGTGCGTGCTGCCTCCCACAACAACATTGAAAATACCAACTATAAGACAAAACAGCTATCGTTCAGAACCGTGGGAAAGCTGGCCCAGTGGAAGCTCTACAACTGGAAGGAAAGAAAGAAGAGCATTGAGACTGAGTAGGATATGCAGAGGCGCCAAGAACGGAGGTATGGAGTCGCACGCCAGGTGGGCTGCAACTGGATGTGCGGTTTTTTTCAATCGAAAGGGGTTACAAACTCTCGAATCCACTGAGCTTGTTTGGGGCGGGATTCTGAGGTCCCAGACCCCTAAGGGGAGAGGCAGGATGGCCTTGAGGAGTCGCGGAGAGGCAAGGAGTCC